TATCAGACATGGATTTTCTCCTGTTGTATCTTTAAGGCCATTTAGACTTCTCTCGGCTCTCCTCAAGATAATAAAGGCTTCTGTTGTACCCTTGAGAATATCTTGCGTGTTCACCCTTAGATGAAAACTATAGGCAATTACTGGCTTCTGAGAGAGGGAGAAACAGTCTTCTCCAGCAAGGAGCTCTCTGATGGGTTATCCAATCCTAAGTACTCATCCCTAAACACATGTACATACAAGTAACATTAAATGGACCCAACATTGTGTATGCATGTTAAATCATATGCATATTTAACAATAGTAATTAAAGGGAAAGAGGTCGTGAATATACAGGAAGTAGGAGAACACTGGAGAAGTTGGAGAGAAGATAGGGTGGGATGGAATTGATGTAAACACAGTACTCAAGTATAATAGTCTCAAAAATAAAATAAATAATATTTTTAAATGAAAGTAAAAGAAAAGATAAAGGCTTTAAGAAGGCGTCAACTGAGCACTGTATGAAGTTGTTTTAATTTCTAATTTTTCTCTACCCTCAGGGTATCAAAAACCTGAAAGTGATATTCAAATAATTAACCGGCCATTTCAAATACTCTTAATAACCCTCCATAATATTAATATCTGTCACCTACATATTATTCTGATAATCTATGAGTTAAGACAATATCTGCTCTACGCAGAATGAGGTGGATATACAAAAGATGGAGCAACCAGCCTAACATGAATAGTCTGCTCTTGGGATGGACTGTGACCTAACTAGGAGTCAAAGCATCATTGGCTTCACTTAGGAGACACAAAGGCCAAGAGCTGAAGCCTCGGATATGGATGTTCATTAGTGGAAGACACTGAGAAGACTCTTAGCAGTGTGAAGATCAGAAAGAAGCTTGGTAGCAATTGTGTCCAATGCACTCCTGGACAGATGAAGTCAATGATATCCAAAGAATATTAGTAACCAGAAATTCCAATCCTACTGAGAGCTATGAGAAAACTCCAGATTATTTGATATTTTATGTGTATAAGTGTTTTGTCTTCATGTATGTCTGTAGGCCACATGCATGCCTAGTGCTCAACGAGACCAGAGAGGGTGTTTATGCCCTAGAATTATAGTTATAGATGGGTATGAGCTGCCATATTAGAGCTAGGAATTGAATCTGGGTCCTCTGAAAGAAAATCCTGTTCTCTTAAACACTGAGTCATCTCTCCATCCCTCAGATTATTGGATTTTAGGCACAGGCTTTTCACAGCTCAGAGTTCAGTTTTTTAACACCACCAATTACCACAAGCTATTGAGATTTAGGCTTGTTTGTTTTTGTTTCTTTCTGTATTCAGTTTAATGAAAGAGAGTCACACCCTTTAGATTCCCATCTTTGTGTGTGCTCTTTAGTAGTTGTGACCCAAGAGGGGAATGAATAGGCAACTAGGATGTCACCATATCACAGAGGTCTGAAGGTTGTTTTGTTTTTTAGTCTTTTGAGACACTGTTTATCTGGGTGACTCTTGTCCTAGAACCCAGACTGTAGATCAGGCTTGCCTTGAATTCACAGAATCTGTCTGCCTCTGCCTTCTGAGTGCTGAGATTAAAGGCCTGCACCACCACTGGCAAGCTTAAATTATTCTTTTTTTTTTATGGCATGATTGGCTATTTATTTTTCTGAGGTATGGTACACTATATTCTTAAGGAAGTCTCTGTTTCCTCTATTTTATTGAATCAGTTAGCCTCTTCTCTTGGGGTTCACACATATCCTATTTCCTGAATGATTCTTGGAAGTATTAACCACTTGTCTTCTCAGTTAGCTTGGCTAGCAAGTAATTGATTTCATTTGTGTTTAAAGAAAAATAAACCTTTGGTTTTGTAAGCTTTTTTCCCCCCCCATTGATTCCCTGTTTCGAATTCTAGTGATTTTCTTTCTATTTTTATTTTTTTCCTTGGGATTACGTTCTGACCTTGTTAGGTTGGTTCTCACAAATCAAAATGTAAAGGACTAACTTGTTTTAGATCTGTCCTCAATTTTACAAAATTATTTAAAATAGGATTACACACTTTGCATCCTCCATTTCCTTCCACCAGTCCCCCCAAGCTGTCTCCGCCATTTCAAATTCATTGCTTCTTTTTCTTTAAGGATTATTGTTACATAGACACAAAGTATGATAATAAATATGTGTTTCTTTTCCAATCTTTCCATATAGTCCTATTCATTCCCCTCTAACACTGCTCTTCTTACTTCCCACACATCTTCATATGTTGTTTTTATTTTCTTTAAGTCTTTATTATCTGGGCAGTTATACTCAAAATCCTCCATTGTTGGGTCACCAAATTCACATTCCCTTTTCAAACTTCAAGCTCCCAAAAATGATCATGTATGCTCTTCATTTCCCTCATTCTGCATCTGGCCTTATCTAGTTATATTTCCTCAAATTGTTTCTTGCTGTATAATTCTTCCTAATTCATGAGTCTTTCTTGTGTAAGTATGTGACAAAGGATAACAACAGAGGTAGAGATACATCATGGGCATCATAAAAGCATCTCTGGAAAGAACATCACAAATTTCCTCTAAGTTTGAAATTACTGAAATGTGTGTGTATGTGTGTGTGTGTGTGTGTGTGTGTGTGTGTGTGTGTGCAGAAAGAGAAAGAAACAGAGACAAGACACACACACACACACACAAAGAGAGAGGAGGGGGGAGGGAGAGAGAGAGTCCAAGAGATGATTTATAAGCTAATACATCTCATCTGTATATGAAGACAATTGACAAAAGAACAAATATTTCAAAATTTATCTGTGAATCATGAGAGGAGTAGGTGGAGGTAATTTAGAAGTTTGATAGTACTTACATGGGCATCATTTTTGTGGTGGATAATGGTTTTATTTGTTTGTGTCTAGGTAGTACAAGTTATGATTGCTCTCATAAACTTCAGCTTAGGAAAAATAATTATGATAAATATGTAAGTTTAAGGACCAGTCTTTTCAGTGATCTTACTGGTCCCAATTTGGGGACCTATAATGGTGAGTAACATACAATCTTACATAACTGGAGATAATAACGCCCTGTTCTAACTAGACCAACGTTGGGTGAAATCTTCTCTCAACTCTTTCAAGTAGTCTATGAGTTTGTAAACAACTATTTAAACCTGATTCAGTAATTCCTTGTTCATATTGCAATATTTACATGCCACTCACATAAGCAAGGTATGCTGTTTATATATCATTTAAGATATATTGTGACAGCATGTAGGCACATACTCCCCCAAAAGTTACTTACATATTGACACAACTGATTTCCTCAGAAGTTCATGGCTAGTCGTTCCTAGGGTTTGTTATTTAGAGTGATATGACTTGCCGACGTATCTGTTTCATTGCTCATAAAACTTTTACAAGTATATTCTCAAACCAAGGATAACTGTCTTTCTACCATTAACTTGGGGAAATTGAGATCTGCTTCTCTAGCTAGGAAGGGGTCACAAAACTCTGAAGCCCATGAAAGAATGAAGGAAACAAGGGTGTTGTTGGTAAAGAAGAGGGGACGAAGCTGAGCAGGTGATTAACAGCATCTGGCCAATCAGATCTCAATAAATGCTTAAGAGAATAGGAAAACTGTAGATAATTTTGTTTCAATTGTAAATAAAATAACTCATCAAATATTTGAATAAGAATTTCTGAAAGTTAAAAAAAAACTTTCCTCTATAAATAAACATCAGATAATTCTTTTTTAGTTCAAAGTGTCAATTAAATATAAAAATGAAACATTTACTCACCTATGTATTATGAACTGACAAATAGAAAACAAAATGCATAAACTTGGTTATTTGTTATTTTACAGTTTAGAATCTTTTTCAAGTGTTGCAAGATTTCCATTTATTGATGAACTGAAGAGTGAGAAAATTTCGTTATTTAGTTGATCTGGTACTTTAATTTTCCCTTCTTATTTTACAACAAGTGTTTAAGATTTGAAGAATGCCACAGACTGTCACATTTTTCAAGGTTTCATGACACTTTATATATTAATAATAATACCAATGGTAATAATAATAATAATCCCTGCAATAATACCATTAATAGCTTACATTTAACTTTAATCTGTCATATTTCTAAATGTTTTTGTATGTAATGTTCCACCTCAACCAATCACTACAACTTCTGAGAAATTTGCCTTTATCTACACTGTATCAAGGAAAAATAAAATGAGACTAAGGAAAGTTAATTTTCTCATGATGTATTCAGTCCATGAACAAGAACTCAAAATCTCATTTATCTGCTCTCTGTGAATGTCTGCTTCAATCTTTATTCCCTACTCAATACCATCTTGGAAAACAACTCCCGCAGCTCATGATTGAAGATTCACTTCAAGGCTTCAGGTCTGCGTGCAGAGAGCAGTGGACTGACATCCAACACTTCTCATCTACATGCTAATTCTAGTCTCAATGATGTGGTTCCACTGACACTCTCATTAACTTTTAAATCTTCTAAACTAAAACTTGGAAAGCAAATCTAGACATCCGTATATTTAGCCGAATAGTCTAAAAAGAGCAGTCACTTTGATTAAATTGAAAATAATGGCCAAATTGGAAGACTCAAATGAGCTACATTATTCTATTGTTGTGGGAAGTAAGTAAATGATCCTGGCAGGCTTCCCACGCTATTGCTGGTAGCTCTCAGGTTCAGTTTGGTCCCACTGGGCTACCCCGCCCCGCCACCCCTAAACAGCTCCCAGATCACTCTGGCACTAAGCTGAACACCGGAGGACCACATGGCCCCAGCCAGGTGTTCCCATTTTGCAGACCCTCTGGTCTGGGAACTCGAAGACATTGTGTGGTCACTACCTCCACCTGCTGCCAGTCTCGCATTTAGATATCACAATACTCGGTAAAATCAAAACTCTTAAAGCTTATAGTTAACCAGTCAGAATTATATATCAGTAGAATCTCAATACACAAGATGCCCACACAATTTAGACAAGTTATCCCAATTATTCTAACCCTATAAGATATTCATAACTACCTATGACTACTTAAAGCTATGCCAGTTGAGTCATCTTGTTCAACTTCTGTCTTGATTCTTCTCCCTTTCTCTTTCTCTCTCCATCTCTCTCTTTGCAACTCCTAGTTCCACCTCCCCTTTCCCTGTTCAATCACAGGCCTTCTGCTGTACTAATATTTAAGTACATTGGACAGGGAAATTCCTGCCACATATTTAATTATCATCTAATGTATAAATTTAATTTGTTGCTATTATTTTATTTACATCTTCCAATATGTATTTTTTTAACAGGGATAATTTCATTTCTGTTTTGTTTGACTAACTTCCTCGGTTTCTTCACTTTGGTGTCATGTTGGTAAAAATCTTGTTATAAGGATTGGAGAGCTTTAGCCATCATTGGTATTAAAAATTTTTATTACATGAGAGTTGAATAATTTTTAAACCGTTAATAAACAGTGTGTGAAAGTATACAATAATTTAAAAGTTTAAAAAGTCTTCAGTTTCTTTTCAAGTCTATGAAATCTAATTTCAAAGTGTCCTAATATTAAATAAATGTGTCCAGAATAAGAGTGCAGACAGCTTTGTCAGTGAAATTAGAAAGAGTATCATTCTAGTCATAGATTTTTTAAGGGGGGAAAAGTACAGCAAAGAGGGACCATTGCTTTTTCCTCTATACTGGAAGCATAGAGAAAATACTATCGAAATTCGGAGACACACTTGATAGCTCCTGCCTCTAATCCTTTCACTCAGGAAGCCTAAACAGAAGAGTCACTCCAAGAACAAGTCTGGCATGGTTTATGTAGCAAGCTCCACGCCAACCAGAAATACATAACAACACCTTACCTCAAACATCCAAAATAAACAAATGAAATATTCTATTAAAATAACCTTGATGGTTCTTCTATAACTCATTTGACTTTTCCTCTCTGCTCTTGTGGGGATGGGGAAGGTGGGTGACATAGAAAACAGCTGCTTTTCAGACAGTCGACCACGTTATTAGATGCAGTTGATTTAGAAGTAAAGAGTAGTATGCTACGCCTTATACCAACTGTTTAAAGATTTTTAACCTGGATATTTTCCCTCATGACCAGTTCTTTACCTCAGGATCCCTGTCAATTGCAGCAGGAGTGAATACTACAAAGAGCCTGGTATATATTTTGGTTTATTTTGCTATCAAAAGGGAATGATTTCATCAACTATGCATTCTGGTAAGATGTAAAAAGGTTAATTCTATCTTCCTTATGCCATAGCTATGAGTTTTAGAAAGACCTGACTTTTACATCTGTAGCTGAGCTACTGGTTCATGATAAGTCTCATCATGTCTGACTGGATAAAATGTGAAGGCAGTTGCTGGGAGAATCTTGGTGGTGTTGCTGTGAATTAGGGAAAGGAATGTCGGGTGGGGTTTACACAAATATGCCTTGAAGCTTCAGATCCAGATCATGATACTGACACCCAAATATTTGCAATAGTAAAAATAAAAAAATTGACTGACATATTAAAATACCTTCTATAGATGTATCCAAAATAATAGGTTTAAAAAAAATTACAGAGTCCAGAGAGACAGTCAGAGGTTAAGAGCACTTGTTTTTCTTACAGAAGACCAAGATTTGTTTCTACGTATCCACAGAGAACCATAAATCCAGTTCCATTGGCTCTAAAGTCCCCTTCTGGCTTATGTGGGTACCAGGCATTGGCATGCTGCATGTACATACAGGCAGAGAAATCATTTATAAACATAAAACAATAAATGGCTTTAAATGACATTTACAATGATATGTCCATCGTAAAGCTGATAAGGGCACTAGCCAAGAGCTCAAAAATTGTTTCATTCTCTAAAAGCTGCATTTGAATTTAACTTCCTGCAACATGTAAACATCAACTTGTGTAGCAAGATCAAGGAGACCTTTCTAAACCTGAGCTAAATTCTGTCTGACTCTGTAGCATCTTTCACCCACTCTGACCACTAAAATGTAGCTCATGTTATAGATGCAGTAAACTTTCAATTTGCTGAGTAGTTTTACTTCTCACAATAAAGTTTATTTAACTGAACCACTAGAAGAGAATTTCAGAGCTATATCTACAGCATAGGAGGAAATATGCAAGAGGGACATTGCCATCAGCATTTACACAAGAACAGTTAGGCATTTGCAGCACAAAGTGGTCGAAAATGACAGACAGGCTCTCCAGATAATGTGTCAAAGACTTTGAAAATTTTACTAGCAAATTTGAAGAGCATCTTGTGGCCTTGAGAATCATCTGGAAGATTTAGTCTTAGAAATAACAGTTAATATGTTTATATTTTGGCAAAGAATTGGATGTAAAGCTACTATAAGAAAAGACCCAAAGTATAATTTTGGCAAGAAGAGGATGAAATGATGTACTTCAAATATTGATGGAGCCATACAAGTGATGCCATTGATAACTGATTCCCCACTCCTTTCTAGGCCATCGGCAGTCTAAATCTGAACACTATCAGCTCTGTGTTGGCTGTGGCAGGAAGCATTATTGGTGTCATCAGTGTGCTTGTGGGTGAATATTCTCCCCATTTTAATGATCATCCAGTCATCAATGTGAGCATTTACTCTGCTGATGTCATGGAGGAGGCAAGGGCTCACTGACTCTGGCAAAAGCAAGAGTCAACACTCTGATCTTAAAATTAATTTGGGGTGTTACCCAAGGGGGGCTCCTCTCCTCTAAGGAGAAAGGGAAGGGGCTATAGGTGGAAGCATTTGTAGAGTGGGGACTGGGAAAAGAGGAAGGAGCGGTCTGTGATTGGGATGTAAAGTAAATAAAAAATAAATTATTAGGAAAAATAAAAGAGAATAGGAAAATAAATCAATTTGTGATGTTGAAATGATAGTGAAGTAGAATAATATTTATTTAGAAATCAGGTGACACCTCATTATTTCTCTTCTGTTTGCAAGTACAGAGAAAACCACTAATGTGGCTAGTTCTCAGACACAGGGACCCACACATCATGTCTGATCTTCAGTGGGTGCCTACAGAGAGATCCAAAATAAAACCAAGTTCCTAATGGTGGGAGGTGCTGATACTCTTGGGAGAAAAAGATAGAATGTAGAGCTTTTAATTTTTGCAACACAGGTTTAAAGGAGTAAGCTCTTTGTAAGAAAAAGACAAATGCATTGAATACTAAGGAGTGTGGTGGCCAACCTTCCAATGATTTACCATAGTTGTGACAATCACTACCAAGATAATGCATAATCCAGATATATTATATTACAGGATGACAGAAGTTCAAAATAAGTCACAATGGCATAAAATCAACTGTTGGCAGGGCTGTTGTCTTCCCTGTGAGGGAAAAGTAAATTTTTTGACTTTTGTGTTTCCACTTTCTGTCTACATTCTTTGGCTCATCATTCTGTCCTCTATTTTTGAGGCAAACCAATTCTTCAGGATTTTGCTTCCATTACTAAATATGTTATAATAACTTAGACAGCCTTCACAGGCCAAGATGTTCTGCCTATAGTATTTAATAAACAGCCTCTGTTCTCACTGTAAACCAGTATAACCCCATCCTAGGGCTTGGATAAAAAAAAAGCAACCTGAAATACTATTCTCTTCAAATATGAAACCATATTATTGTTTTCTCCATGTGAATTGTCTAGCATAGAGCACAGCAGGCTTGGAGACAGGGGCCTCTGATAATTGTTATTAGTTTAAAAAAAGTGAGAAAAAAACTGTCATTCAGGGGAATAAGAAATTGTCTTAGGTTTGGGCTGTATCAAAAGCTGGATTTCCAATTCCCTGGCCAGGCCCTTCCCTCATTGGCATGGTAGTCAGGGGGAGGAGGGCATAGTTCAAACATGTAATCTCCACTCTTCACATTCTTTAGTATGAATCTGTTTTAGGGTTTGGATACTTTGATGTTAATTTTAAATATGCTAGAATTCTGCATTGTTGTATCCATCTCTGCATTTGGATGTAAAGCTTCCTGTTGTAACTCAAGAGAGGTGAGTAGTAGTCCTCATACAGTGATCCTTAGTAGGTCTCTATTTCTCTGTAATCAGTCACACAAATCTACCAGCGTACAAAGACACATCTTTGTATCTTACGTTGCTCAATGAAGACCATCAACAGCTTAGTCATGTCCCCTGCTCAGTCTTAAAAGGCCGTGTGAGCAGGAAAACTGAGGTTTCCTCTGGGTTTCCCACTTTCATTAATAAAAGAGTTTAAAGCCAGACTCAAAAGGAAACTCGAGGACACTTTTAGAACAGTTTGAGGGAGGGAAACCAAAACAAGAGAAAGACTTCAAAAGCCCATAAAGTCTAACAACACATATTTAGGAGAGCCAAGCCACAGTTCTGAGTTCAGAAGTCACCCAATTCTAGATCCTTGTGTTGCAGAGCAAAGGACTGTACCAGGGACTCATGTTTGAAATAGAGACAGTTTATCAAGGAAAGAAAAGCATTCCTAAGAATGGAAGTAGACTAGTGAGCTGTAGAAAGAGCCTGAAGGGCATCCAGCCACAGAATGAAGCAACTTATATAAGACCATTATAGACTCAGCTTTTTTACTTTTATCTAGTGGACTTACTGCCCCACAACCTCACCCAGCATGCTGTCTTCCTTAGATGAAGCCCAGGTGAAGATGAGTTTAAAGTCTTCTTCGTACTGGTTTCTTTCACATGGTAATATTTTATTGCTGTTGTTTGAGAATGCACTATCAGCATATTATGTATTTTTATCAAATCCAGCCCCATTACCTCCATTCTAATTCTTCACTTCTGGTCCCTATTCTCCTGTCTAAACTGTGTTCATAGAGTTGATTGGGCTGTTGTTTCTCAGAAACTTTTAGTTTGTGCACACCTGGCTTCTGTAGAACAAGGAGGAAGAAGAAGGTCACATAGGGAGCGGAAAGTCACATACATAGGAGGAGAAAAACAACCATGAAATAGACCATGAATATAGTATGCCAGAAAAGCTACATCAAAGCTTTTATAAGAAGCTAGTGTAACCCAGCAACTGCTCCCTAGAGCTGAGGAATGCTGTTCCTACTGTCCTCTAGTGTGTTAACCCACAAAAGCAGTGACCTAGGCACATGTTTTGCCTAAGTATGTACATCTTCTTCATTCTACTGTTGTCCCATGTCCCTTGATTGTAAAGGTCAGAATATATTTCCATGTTTCATGATGCTTCTGCCATTCTGAGCCACTGTCATGTGTGCAGAACTTCATTCAAGGCCACCATATTAAGGTCTGGATGTGCAGCTGTCAACAGGAGCAAACTAGTTTGAAAGAATGCCATTGTCATTCTCTGTGACACTTTGACTCAAGTAAGCCATTCACACAGAAGACTGATGCTCTAAGATGCAGCTGCAGACACCAGCTACTCTACTCAATCTCTGCCACATAATGAGTGTTCTAGGTCTGCAACACCTTGATGGTCCAAGAAGTAGCCCAGAAACCACCCAGTTTCATGTGTAATTCAACTCTGTAGTGACAGTGTAGACACTAGTAAAAGTGACACTAGCACATGGAAATGGAAGCACTGACTATACTCAGTGACTCAATGACATTTTGATTCATTTCACAGGTTCTTGTGCTACCACCAAATCCTGCTGTAACAGTGATGGGACCTACCCTGACACTTCAACCATTGCTACCATCAAAACCCAAAGGGAAAAATGTTACAGAAAATATATACAAGAACCACCCTGGAGAAAGGGTTTACTTCTGATGTGTGTGTGTGTGTGTGTGTGTGTGTGTGTGTGTGTGTGTGTGTGCAAGTATTTCTCTGAGAAATCAACAGTTCATTGCACTGGCTTTTGGAGGGAATATCAGTCATGCTGAAAATATGTAAGCTAAGCAATTACTAGATCAACAACACTTCAACTTCTTCGATTCACTGGAAGTACAAGGGGCATTAAATTGACAGAGAAGTTTTGAATCCAAATTGAAGAAAAAAACTGCTTTAATGAAGTGAGGTTTCCAAAGTGTGAAGAATGGAGTCCACATCTTATTTGGGGATTTTGCAAAATAAGATTTCGCTACTCATGATCATGAATAGACATGTAAAGTATGAAGAAAACAAGTGTATTAAAGTACTAATGGTAGCAAGCAATTTTAATCTTTATGTGCATGCTCATCATATAATAACATAGTCTATACTCTAATTGATATAGTAAAAAATTACAATAAAGAGAAGTGATTGAAATCAGAAGACCTGATCATTAAATACACACACATATTCATAAGTCTATTTACATGTGTATATTTATATAAATTTAGTGTACCTCTCTGTATATACATAGTATACAAATAGTGTGGATATGGAGATTATAGGGAGTACACATTCACATATGTGTATATATTATATATGACCTAAAAATCACTTATTACTGTAGATTGAAGCTTTAATTTCATCTACAGGCTCACGTGTTTGAACACTTGGTTCCAAGTAGTGCCATTCTTTAGAGAGGTTGCTGAATCTTTCAGATATGAGGCCTAACTTGTGAAACTAAGTCACCAAAGTTTGCCTTCCAGTTGAATGTTCACATTACCTTTCTGGTTAAAAGCAATGTCCAAAGACTCTGCTATCAGGCTAGATTTCCTTCTTAGATAAATTGATTCTAAGTATGTGTCAGTATTTATTATTCATTATAAAATAAGTCTAGATCCTGCACTAATTTGGCAAAGAATGGTTTAAATTATTTGCATGTTCCCAAGCATCCAGGGTACATCTGCAGGTATTGATGTGTTTGAGAAGCCAAAATCTTACCAAAACCATAAGCCTGGTGCTATTTCTTTACTTATTATCTTAAATTAAACTTTATCTTAAAATTATTATCTTAAAATTAACTTGTAAAATAGATATATCAAGATAGTTCTTAGAAATAAAACATTAAGGGAATTCCACTTCCCTTCCGCCCCTGCCTGGTCCTCTGGGCTGGAGCAGACACAGAGTC